ACGGATACCAGCCATCACATTGCGATAATTGACTTCACCAATTCTTGTACGTTGACGGTCAACAAAAATATGATTCGTTATTTATCCCTATATAAGGTAAATTGCACCGTTAGGAAAGGATAATCTGGTATATTGTCCATTTCATAGTACTGGATTGTCATTACTAATAAATGCCTAATTTGTAAGTTTGGATAATTAATTTATAGACCCTATTCTACAAGACGCGTATGCACGTATATAAGGAATAAAATTGAAGGAAACGTATCAATGTTCGTTTTCCTTGAATACTTTAATCAAAATCTCAATTCTGGTCATCATTTTAGTTGCATCTAGTTGTGTTGACTGATTGCATTGGTCGATCACAACTGCTTCTATAAATACTACAATGGCTGACTACAATCTTAATGTCCCTTACACTTTACAGGTATTATTTTCTCTGTATTAGTAAGCAAATGAACAGGAAAGAGAGAATGAAATAGTTTGAGTGTTCATAATTGCATTTATTGATCAAATATACAGAGGATGGGTCCAGTAAATTCAATTTCTACTGTAAGCGAATACTGTACTCGTCTTGTCTACCAACGATTGCATTGGGTGTTAATTCTTACACGTTTTATTGGACGGTATTTCATGATGTTATTGGCAGCAAACAACACTATCGAGAGAGCAAATAATCATGAGTTAAGCTAAACTGCGTAAGGTCCATCCATTTTCAGCAGAACGAAATCATTCCATCGACATCGCGTGTACGATAGGAGATAGTGCCACAATGCACGATAGAGTGGTGTCTTGTGTGGCATTAAGAATAATTTTGACCAGTACACTTTAAAATTAACCACCAACATAACCTGTTAAATGAATTATTACCAATACACAGGTTGTAGTGTGGATCATAGTCTGCTTTATTGGTAGCGAACGAGAGCTCTCCTCTTCTAAGTACTATAACATCGTAATATATAACAAGTAATCCAAATTAGCTACAAAATATTGTGGCATGATACTGTTTCATCGAGCTATCTTCACGATACACAAAGTCATTGCCCTTAGAAAACTAAAATCAATGTGATTAAGATTGATGCTTATTTTCAGCTTTTCTCTAATCGTTACAAAAGGTAGGCACGATCACGGTTGTATGTGAAGAGCTTGTCACTTTGATTTATTTTATTAACTAAACGATAACACCTATTAGGCAGTTATTGACTATGAACGAAACGGAGCGGCAATTAAATTGATCATCCAACCTATTTCTGTCTTTCGATTTTCCATGATTAGTTACATTTTGACACGATACCATATACCTAAGGAGACCTACTGTGTACTTGATCATTAAATTATCGCCAATTCTTTTTATTTAGTAGTATTCGTATTATGCATAGCATATCGATTTTATCTTAATATCCATTATAATCGAACGTTGGGCGCATAGAAGAAATTCTTTAGACATGTAGAATTGCAAATTAAGCAGACTTTTAAATCATATCCTATTTTTCTTTGTGATTCGATACCGCTTGATTTGTATATTTCAGTGTGGTATATTGTATGATCTTGAGTACTAATTGTAAAAGTGATGAACTGGGTGGGGTAATATCTTAATAGCTTGCCGATTGATTTTAGTCGGTAGCGTTAGCTAAGACTATTTCTTAATGCAAGTATTTGTCAAATAGAAACATTGACCTGCTTTCGTTAACAGCTTACCTTAATACAGAACCGCTACTTTTTCAATTTTAAAGATAGTTATGTAGATTGAACGGCCAAAGATGATATTTCAAGCCTTACAGTGTTAAATTCTACAATAGTATGTGTATTTTCAAGATTTAGCCTTGAATGGTTGATGATAATAAATTAATAGTTAGCGGTAGCGATCACAACAGTCTTGTCAAGATACAGCTTAATAATGTTACAGCACTTCATTAAGCGAGAATTGAGCAAATTATGCATGCATAAAGAAATAGCTTAATAATAAAATAGAGATGCTATATATTATAATCAATCTTATAGTAGATGGTCTTTCACGATTTATATTGAACTCTAGCAATAGTATAATGGTTAAAGCAATTACATCTATTGAAATTGAATATCGTGAAGAATGCTTCAAGATCTAGTTGGCGTTTGTTGGTTTTAGAAACATGGCTATGATAGTTATAGGAGCACAATTATCAAAATCAGCCTTAAGTTTGTTGTAACGAGTTCGTTTCGATGTTTAGGCATTGAAATGAATAGACTAATACTATTGCGCTATCTATGATGTTGCACATCCACGTTCAACATTGATATCAAGCTGTTCTAATCTTATTATACTGTAGCTCAATAGTTGATTTAGACCATAGAGGTAAGAGAGAAAGAGGCTTTTTTCTTACCTATGGCTTAGTCATTGAAACAAGCAGACTTATAATATTCCACTATCTACAATACGGCATGGGCGCATTCAGCATTTATATCAAGCTTTAGTAATTCATCTTGAATGTTACTGCACTGCAGCCACATTGTACTTTATACTCTTTCAAATTGAAATTATGTCTTTGACTATAAACCATTTGCCTCATAGCATTTTTGTCCGTTCAATGCTATACTATTTTGTGACGTGCTCAACTTTAGGGAATTCTAATAACCTCAATATTCAAAGTGACTAAGTCAATAAACTATGCGGCAAGTAGTCCTACTGAGCTGATCTACTTACTATATTCATGGGATTTAATAAATAGCTATTCAACTCTGTTAGTCAAAGACAAAAAACTATTATGAACTTTGTTAATTTTATTCAGTTTTTGTTTTATAATTATAGACTATTGTCCAACATATTGATAGCATATTTAGAGAGATAGGACTGGGTTGTACCGGTGGGATAGTGCATCTACCTAATTAATAATGTAGTTATTCGACTAGTAAACACCATTCATCAACGTACAGTTCCAGGCTGTACAGCTAGATTGATCAGCAAGAGCATCTGCACGAGAAATACTTTAGTGTTCAACTACCTATAGAGAAATTAATCGGACTGAAATTCTTTTTACGAGAGAAAAATTGGCTTTAGTAGAAACTCTTCCCTTTAATTTCTATCGCTAATTACTTTATTTGTAAAATAAGCTTGTTGACGTCAAAAACTCTCTTCATCGTACGAACTTGGAAATGGATATGTCATTGGATGGACTTAGTGATCCTCAATTTCAGCAGATGTACGATGATGGTAAGACTATTTTCCCATATTCTTTCCCATTTCCATTCATTTTCTGATCCAATAAAAACTAAAAGTGAATGCTGTACTACACGTCTTTATGCTGGATAAAACCGTTCATGATATTAATTTGGAGTGAAATTGGATTGTAAGTTGATAGGAAGTTAGTTGAAGGAATCTTCAGAATTCCGGTGCCATGTTGAAAATAAAATTGAGTTGCTATCCTAACGTCGGCTACCCTTGTTCGATTGCTAGTAGAGCAAACAAAAATTCATATCTTGGGAATAGTAAAAGTGAATTCTAGATTGAAGTTTTTTAATTGATTGACTACAATTCAATTATTTTAATGAAATCCCAAAACGCTAGGATCAGTAGGTAGTCCCATAATACATGTCAATAGAATCTTTGAATGGCAGCTAGCTCTTGTCACGATGGTAGGCCTATCCTTTTGTTGTAATTCGTTGAATTTTACAATCAATGAACGATCCAGCATGTACTTTGAAATAGCATTTTATAAAGAACTAGTAGAAAGCCCTGCTTGTTTTTACTTTGCATACTTGTTCACTGATTAGAATATTTCAGTGTAGTTACTAATCAATATTTAAAGATACTCTTCGATTACAGGCTAGCAAATTTGTTGTCATGATGCTATTCGACTGCAGACTAGCAAGTTCAACTAAATTTCTTAGCTAGTCGGCTTTGATCAACCAATCAATATGCTTAAGATGAGTTTGCTTTTTGTAATTTATCCTCTGTCTGATTAGCAGTAATAAATGCATTACCATAGTTCATCTTTGAACCTTCTGTAGAAAGACTGCATCGGTATAGTAAGATTTAATCAAACGACAGTGACTTTAATGCATCGTTAAGAGTATTTCATTTATGTTGATTTTGGCATCTTAATATCTACTATGCATGAATAATTTGATTTAAGTTGGTATTTTAACAAAAATAATGGCTAAAACAAAGTCACAAGGCTACGTTTTACTGTAGATGATAGCATCTAAATCAAGTGGCAATAGGATCTGTAAGACAAGATGATTTAAAGTTTGCAATAAAATACAAAATATAATTATGAATGATGCAGTCTAATTATGTATATGACCCCAATTCTTACTACTCTTGCAAATCATGATTGATTGGCACCTTTTATTTCACCATTGAGTTTGCAATGATCGATATAAGGGGACATTTCATGGTTTAATTACAGTCAAAGGCCATCTTTTCCCATTACATAAGGATTGGATTGATTACTTTTAACAATAGAATTAAATTAAAATTTTACTTTACCGGCGGAATTAAGTTTTCTATAGTTATTTAATAACATATAGTTTATAAAGATGAATGAAAGAAACGCAGTGAAGGAACTGTATGTATGATTTGTTAAGATTGTATAATGAATTCTTCAGCAGTTCGTTATTGGTCTATCCCGAATAGTACTGTATTTGGATAGTCATTCAATTGAGCAGTTATTCAGTTTAGACGAAAGTACAAAGTTTTTCGTACCAGAATGAACAACTAATGTATTTCGTACGCCAGTCTTACATAGTTGGGGTAAGAAATTGCTAACACTAATGGATACATTCGTTTTACGGTATTAGTAGTTTAGCTGTGCTGCCTGATCAATGATACTGTATAATCCAGAAATCGATACACATATAAAGTACAATTACTGCATCCGATTTTAAATAGTTTAATTTCATTGATATTATACGTTTGTATTACTATACCTTCATACATAAACAATTCTATTTCTGTATTAGAATTTCAAAGCAGTCTTAACAAGAATGCACACATCGATGACTTCATTCATGCTATGGTCCAAATTATGGTTAAATATATGAAGAGATGTCATGATCGGCATGAAAAAGTCGTTGAATTCAGACAACCTGAAGAACTAAACAAGTTGATCAACTTTGAATTAAAGGATACACCTGAAGATTTGGCAACCGTTATAGATTATTGTCGAGAAACATTAAATTATTGCGTAAAAACTGGTAATAATCGAATAGGCAATATCGTTCAATCTGGAGTATACTTTTGATTATAAAAGTGATGATAGAAATACGGTACGAAATTTGAAATTGTTTTATTCTTTCCTCTATTTAAAAATCTCATAATGGATAGGTCATCCTCGATTTTTTAATCAACTCTACGGTGGCATGGACATTGTTGGTCTTTGTGGACAGTGGCTATCAGCAACAGCTAATACAAGCATGTAAGGCGTAAATGTACAAGCTTGTCTTGATTAGGAATAAATACCAACTTTTATTTATTAGATAGTAAGCGTCAGACTATATATCATAATATTATGCAGGTATACATATGAAGTTGCTCCAATTTTTGTGTTAATGGAAAGAGCTGTTCTAAGACATATGGGACAATTAGTTGGCTTTTCTGATGGTGATGGTATATTTGCACCAGGTAAAATTAAATTGGATTACATAGACGACTTATACAACAACACCTAATGCGATACAGCTTAGCTATCATATACTGTAGAGTACATGTAATGAAAAAAATTGTCTTTCAATAGACGCATAACAATATATTTAAAAAAAAATATCGATTTACTAGATCATAAGCTACTTTTGATAATTTTAAGGTGGATCGTTATCAAATATGTATGCCATAAGTTTAGCAAGGCACAAGTAAGTATCCAATAGATTTAATCGTAACGTAGGAAATACGCGTAGAAATAATCTTCCTTCGGTTCTGTATCAATTTAAACTGAATGTCGAATAATTTGGATTAATTCGTCATCGGCAATATTTCATCGATTTTTATGAAGGAAATTTCCAACTAGTAAAATGGAAGGATTGTTTTCTTTACCTCGTATGGCAATATTAACTTCGAAACACGTAAGATCAAAAGCTAACCAAAAGAAATTTTTAAAACCGTTATCAAGTGATGGTAATTTACGTAAGAGCTACCTTTGCTTTTATTCCGACCATGATACAATCTAGAGCCACTATTCCTTTAAAAAAGGAGCATATTTTATGGGTTTTGGTCTAAATAATGTAGTTATGATCAATTGTGATGCAAAGTAAGTTAGATCAATTTTGCAAAGATCTACATTTTATGCCTGGATTATTTATGAATGTTGCTTTTTATTACCTTCGCATATTTATAATACTTTGATAATTATTTGCATTTTTTTCAGAGGCCGCATGTTGGCTTCTGATTTAGAAAACCAAATAATCCACCTTCAATCTCAGGTAATTTGGTAAAAAGTAGAGGGCTTATAAGGCAGTAACTTCTTCTCTTTGGATTCTATCTTGGTAAGAGCAGGATGTATGGCATTTACCATTTATCATTTTTTATAGGGTATTGCACCCATATTGGTCAATGCTACGTCTGGTACAACAGTCTTTGGTGCTTTTGATCCATTAGACGAAATTGCTGATATATGCCAGAAGTATGATTTATGGTTACATGTCGATGCTGCTTGGGGTGGTGCAATTATTCTATCAGCAGAAAAACGTCACTTGATGAAGGGGATGCATCGAATTGACTCTATTTCTTGGAATCCGCATAAGTTTATGGGTTGTCCTTTTCAATGTTCCGCTTTCTTGACAAAAAAAAAGGTATTGCTGAAACTATTAGGTAAAATTTGTATTTTTAATTTACCTAAATTCGAGAAAAATTTGATTCCATGGATAAATCTATGCTGATAGAAGCTAAAGCTCTTGAGTAAACTGCGTGTTAGACTAATTTTAGGGAAAAATTGGCGCTATATTTAATATCATAGATCTATTTATAATATTGCGTCTTGTAGATACATTAGCTGTAGACACTGTCTATTAAGTGATGGATATAATATTGCTTTTAATGGCAAATGTCTAGTAATATATGAAACATTAATATAGACTTATGGTTATTTAGTTACCATAGACGGTAACATATCAGATATTATCTCATATAAAATAAGAACTAATACATTTTGCTAGAAATAATTAACTCAGAAATTGATAGCAAACAGTATTAAAAGTTTTCTGGCCTGATTTTTCGGTATCATGGTCTATTATAATTATGTGATGTAGGGACTCTTAGAAGAATGTCATGGAATACCGGCGTCATATTTATTTCAAAAAGATAAAATGACATACGATATATCATATGATACCGGAAATAAATCTATTCAATGTGGTCGTCATGTTGATATCATGAAATTGTGGCTGATGTGGAAAGCTAAGGTAAGCAGATTGATATGATATGATGTTTGGCTAGATTTATTTATTAATGTGGATTTTTACATGCTGTAACTGTAATTTGTCACGCATCAGATTAAGAAATACATGACGACATTACTTTATATGTCATTTTTATATCAGGGGGACCAGGGATTTACCAAAAAGCTGCATCATGCTTACGAAATTTCTAAGTAAGTAAATTATATTTCAACTATAAAATTTTAAGTAGATAAATATCAATACAAGAAATTGTCTAGTCATAATCACTGATTACCAATAATTGCCTATGTGTAAATCTCTCAAGCTGTTTCTGATGATTCTAATATTATCAATGTGCATTACTATCTTATGGTAGTTATCTAACTGAGAAAATTCGGAACCGCGACGGCTTCGAATTGGTTGTTGAGGTAATAATCAAATTTCTGATTAAATAAACAAAAGGTTATTAGTTAAAAATATTCATATATCCTTATATATTTTTATACACGAATAAAGCCCGTTTATGTAAGTATTTGCTTCTGGTATATACCTACGGCTATCAGAAACTTATCTGACGGTGACGTTAAACGGAGAAAACTAAGTCAGGTGAGATGACAAAATAGTAATAAAATTCTTAGACCGAATATAAGTAAACCCTTAAAGTATTATTATACCTTCTGAGAGATTATCCTACATTTAAGGTAAAATGAATTATTTATATCTCTACTCACACTTGTACTCATTGGTTTCTATCAAATAGTTTAAAATTCAATTTTGCTATGAGGTGAATTTTAATATGGAATGCAGTTACAGCTGACTAATTCTTATTATCAAACTTTTAATTTTGAATTAATCTAATAGGTAGCACCTCAAATTAAAGCCGGAATGACCAAAAGAGGCTCAATGCTCGTTGGCTATCAGCCTATGGATGATAAAGTTAATTTTTTCCGGATGATCATATTAAATAGTGCTACAACATTTGATGACATGGATTTTATTCTTGATGAAATCGAATCACTTGGAGAAAGAATTGAATTTGTACAAAATGGTTTTCACAATCCGTAGAAGAATGGCTTCAACTGATTATTTAACCTAGTCTATTTTTGAAAATCAAATTAGATACTACTGTATTACCTTTTATTGGCCTATAAATCATGTATTTTCTATGCTCTATTCCAACTTTTAATTGTAATTACTACATTTCTTTGGGCTAAAATAGCAATTATAATTATAGAGGTGGTTGGTATGTAGGTAATTATCTTATTCAATCAACCATTTCGCTTTCAACTAATATGAGCACTGATAGTCATATTTAAATTCTAAATTCGCCTACTCTTCTATTCAACGTTATTATAATCGTTGTTTTCACGATCTATTGCACTGTACAAGACAGAATTTGTTTAGCAGAGCAATGGTACCAAGTTTGAATGATGGATAACTATATAATCACGATATATAAATTGCGATAGAAATGCAAGGCTAATAAATCTTATAATTACGACTAATCGTAATAAAATAAAGCCTTGATGTAATTGCAATATTAAAGTTACTTAAAACCAAAATTTGGCTAAATCAAGCTGGGTCTAGACTGATTTTGCCAATATTATATTTAATTTTCTTGAATTTGGGTGATTATTTCCTAAAACTATTAATAAGTGATTGTGATGAACTTTCTTTAATTATTTTATATTTGAAGTATTAGAAGTGTAATAGCATGCTATCTCTCCAATTTTAAGAATAAAATTTCGATATTTTCGTTTTAAAAACAAGTGAACGACTAGATTTATTAATGCCAATGTTAGGGGCTTTAGAGTACATGACAAATAGTAAAGTTAGATCGTGTCAAGTGCACAATGAAGATATATAACGTGAATCTATAGGTATATATACAACATACAGCATACTGTAATCTAAGTAATTCATTCTATGCACATACAGTAGTTGAAAGAGTAGGATAAGCCATAATAAAGCGGTAAAATTACATTTAAGGTACTATTACTAAAGTTTCGTATTGTCACCCATTCTCGCTAATTAGAGATCTTATATGCTTTTGCCAATATATGCTGTCCAACATGTCACTTAGGAATATGAATATAGACGTTGAACGAAGTAGCAAAGAGGTAATTATATTGTCATATGCTGTAGTGTATCTGTTTTTATGATCTATTTAAATCCCTTTAGAAAGGTTTAGCGCGAGTATTTTACAAAATATTGGAATTTTGTTGAGATTCTGTATTTAATGTGATCAATGATATAAGGTTATTACTGGTATGTGTTTAATGTACGAGTAGGTGAGGACAGGACCAGAGAACTGCTAGTTAATTAGTTTTACGATTGCATCGCCTCAAGGAAGGCATACTGTTCGATTTATCGTTAGAAAATCTAAACAGACAATAGAAAATATTTACAATTTTAATTACAGTCGAGTGTCTCTATTAATGAACAAACAAAGAACCATAGCTGGAGTGCCTCAAGCTGAATAGCTTAGTAGCAAATCCGAGGAAGTTGCCACAAATATTTTACACACCATAAGTCTCCCGACAACCGCATCATAACATTCGTAGAACGGCAAAATTGAAGCCGCAAGATCAAAATAGATAGATAACATAGTCATTATGTACAAATGGCATGCAAGTGTAGAACTGTTAAGCAATGATGGTATAATAAATCAGGTCTGTTTTTCCATATCAAAACAACATTCTACTATTTGCTCATTTTGCTGTTTGAAAATGAATAAGGTTACTGCTTCTGTGCAGAAGCCTACGCAGGTGCAGTACTCTAACCTTGCATATTATTTTCTATTGGCTTGGGCAGTAGCAAGCCAGTATCAAAAATTAAATAATTAATTATTAATCTATTTAAAGTATTGCTAGCAGAAACTTGATGGTAATATACTCGTATGTAAACTTAGTATACTATACTGCCATGTGAAGCATTATTGATATTATAAAGTAATTAGCAGAAGTAGATTCAGACAAGCTAACTAGCTGTCTAACGTGCTTATGCTGGAGCAGTGATCATTGCATACAACAGCGTTATACATTTTCTATACTTTTATTGTTTATTCTCGCTCTCTCACCCAGTTCTCTCTCGAATCAAACCCTTTTTTTCTGCATCTTTGGTTACTGTGATAGATCGACTTTATCGTCTAGTTAGTCAACAAGTTGGAGATATGGATAATTCCTTCCAAGAGTTAGTAGATCAAAAATTTCAACATCTTTACGATGACGGTTAGCCATAATTTAGCTTTAGTTTATGGAATTAGATGAACTGAATACTAAAGTTTTATCTATACATAGTATACGAGTATACGAGTATGTTATGGTTATTGCCAAGATTTAAGAAAGATCTGATTCTTAAGATTGGTTTCTATGATTTCTAGAGCTGATTCTAGTAATGGTAATAGCCGTAATATACTCGTATACTATAGATAAACAATGAATCAAATTAGTTATTGATACTGGAAAAATCGCTTATAGTATATACTGTACGTATGCATGTTAAGGCCATAAGCAATTATCGATATTATGACTGATAAAGATTTGAAAGCTTTAAAAATATCACTAAATAATAATCAAACTGATTGATCATACAGTTTAGAAAATAATGGAGCAATTTTTTTATCTACTTGATTAATTTTGACATGACAATGAACAGTAGTAGCATCCTAAGGTTAAAGATACATGTAATGTAGCTATTATTGAAGATACCTATTTCTAATTACAATTCAAAGTTATGCTAGTTTTCAAGCATTCATGGCAGCTGTATCTTGGCATAATATCATACCAGTGATTGACTTTAACGTCGTAATAGAAAATGCGTACAAATAGCTTACAATAAGTTCCCAATTATAAAGCTACTAAAGTAAAGCTAGTGGGGAGCGCTGTCTTTAAATAGTAAAACTTTAATTCTATCGTTAAACTGAACTAAAATTTAATATTTCATATATATTGCATTTACTATATCAAGAGTCGGTAGGAACTGAGTCAAACTTGCTAAAGGAAGAAATTATTGTAAAATCATACATATCATCTACAGCATTGGTTAAACGAAGATAACAATATTTAAATTAAAGTATTTTCGAGTTCTCATCTTGCGTATTAGGCGAAGTTTGGATTGTTGACAAAGTAAATGGTTTTCATAAGCTGAGAGGCTTTCCTATCTACGTATAGTTTCAAAGTAAAATACTAGTATTGACTCGATTAATTTTACAAACGCTTAGTTTCGAATGATATACTGTATATCGCTAAACATAACTAATCAAAATAAGCGAAGAGACTTCTTGTGGGTTAGTAAAACTTCCTTATTTTGCAGTCCGTAGGTGAAAAATACTATTAAAGATTGACTTTATACAGCAAACTTCTCGAATAACCTAACTAGACTATAGCCTACGTGTATGTTTTTAAAACTCATATCTCCGTTTGAAAATATATTAATCGATATACTGTAGAATGATAGATAAGCTAATTGCACAGTATAATCATTAAGTGAATAGCTACAAATTATTTTCTTATGTTGATGATATCGAATGCAGTAACTAATTTTACAAATAATCTCATTAACTTATATGAAATATCTTCCGAACTTGATTGCTAGCTATCAAATGGAAAATTTATACAACTACATAAATCATGAATGAAGTAAATTGCACCCTATCAGCTTCCTACTATGATCGTGCTGACCTCATTTCTGATTAATTATTTGTTGACATGATCTTTTCTCTCTAATACAGAAATTCAGAAAAATTTTCATCAAAATCCTCATCTCGAGGACTTTGTACATGCTATGGTCAACATTTTAATCAAGCATATGAAAAATTGCCATGATCGTAGTCAGAAAGTCATTGAATTCAAGGAACCAGGTGAATTAAAGCAATTGATTAACTTTGAATTACGAGAAAAGCCAGAGAGTATGGCAGCTGTAATGGAATACTGTCGCCAGACATTGCATTATTGCACTAAATCTGGTAAGATATTTGATATTCAATCGTTTACTACCTAATTCTTACAAATGCTAATCTGAAATATAATATCGGATATTTCGCAAAGCTGCCAGTAGAAATTTTTTATATGAGCTTGAATTAGCATACTCGTAAATACAATTAATTCTACTTTTAGGGCATCCACGATTTTATAATCAGCTCCACAGTGGTATAGACGTGGTTAGTGTCTGTGGTGAATGGCTAGCGGCTACAGTTAGCACTAACATGTAAGATTTAGGCTCTACGATCCTAACCTAAAGATTCTTGGCCACTTGATTGATAATTATTAAAGTCAAAAATAAGCCAATTCTAGGAGGAAATACTATATAACTTCAAATGGATTTACGGATTATATCTAATTTATTTTAAATTTTATATAGGGCAACTTATGAGATTGCTCCTACTTTTCTATTAATGGAAGAAGCTGTCCTGAGGCATATGACACAACTTATTGGTTTCCATGATGGAGATGGTATCTTTGCACCAGGTGGAGGTTTAACAAATATCATAGTTTAGATAGGTTGCATGGGACAAAAGATTTAGCGCTCCCGCATAAATTGCTATATAATCTCGGCAATATTGAATAAGCAATAGAGTAACATCTAGTAAATATTATTAAGAATAACGATACTCTTTGAAAGGACTTCTTGAGAATTGTGAAAGGCTTCAATACGAAGATCATGTTTACTATTTTAGGTGGATCATTATCCAACATGATTGCCATCAATCTGGCGAGATATCGGTATATAGGATGATTTAAAAGAATTTGATTGCGGATGAACATTGTTGATGCTTATTCGGTATGATCTACTATTGATATATTACTTTAAATTAAAGAAAATTTCCAGCATCCAAGTTGAAAGGGCTTTTTTCATTGCCTAGGATGGCGGTCTTAACATCCAATCATGTATGTTGCAGTCTTTCAACCGTTAGCGGTACTAGTTAAATTGTTTATTATAGATTGAACTTTAAGCTGTTATGCCTAATATTTTATCCTATAGAGTCATTATTCGTTTCAAAAAGGATCTCATTTTATGGGTTTGGGGCAAGAAAATGCCGTTATAGTAAATTGCGATTCAGAGTAAGTTCTAACATCTTGCTTTAATCTGTTATCTCGTTTCTATCTTGCTATAGATGCAATAATGGAGTTATTATATTTTATATTTTGAAATCACATATATTACTTTATAAATGACATAATTTCACTTGTAAATTGCAGAGGTCGTATGTCAATTTGCGATTTAGAAGACAAAATTGTCCACCTTTTATCACAGGTTAATCTTAAGTTATGTATATGATTGCTTCAATAAATTGATGATTCAGCTATAGCACATCATGTAGTTGATAGTTATAAAATTAATTAGGGAAGAAAATAATACTACATATTGTTCGCATATCTACACATTTATAAGCAATTTTGAGGCTAAATCGCTCTCTTACGATTGTAACATGAGTCTATTTTGTTTATTGATGTTCGTTTCTAGAGATAATTTCTTAATTTGATATTTATAAAAAAATGCCTTGCTTTCAAATGGACATCACAATACTTAGAGTATGATGATTATCTACTTTCAAATAGTGATTAAGTAGTCTACGGTTTGATCTGCCTGATTTACAAAAGTAATCACTACCAGGGAAATTCGATAACATATAATTTATTCCTGGAGTTAATTTTACGATATAAACTAAATGTTAGTGGAGTAAAGTACTTATGAGGCTTATATAAAATATCCAACAGAACCGATAAAATATCTATTATTAATTGATATCAATTAGGATATTGTACCAATTATGGTCACTGCTACATGTGGAACCACAGTTTATGGTGCATTTGATCCTGTGGATGAAATTGCTAATCTATGTCAACGATATGATATATGGTTTCATGTCGATGCTTCTTGGGGTGGTGCTGCACTATTTTCTGATCGGAAGCGACATCTTATGAAAGGTGTACATCGAGCTGATTCTGTGACTTGGAATGCACATAAATTTATGGGATGTCCATTTCTATGCTCCGTACTTTTAACTAAAACTAAGGTAATTCAGGAACTCTGAATTATTTTACCGTGATTCACCGCATTAAGATAGAGATATTTTAGAGAACCATTATTTTAATATTATCAAGACTGTAGTTATGATAATATCATATGCAGTTTATACTATCACAGATATGTTCGTAATGTAGAAACTATCATACGCATTTTTAATTTACCCAATCATAAAATAATAACTCTTGTAGCTTTATAATTTTGACTGTTAATTGCCTAATAAGGCTTTATAGTTTTGTAGTGCTTAACATAGCCATGAAGCTAACAAATCATTTAACCTGTTCCTTTTAACTGTTCATCTGAGAGTAAAGCTGTAATTATATTTGCCCTAATATTACAAATAAATGTTAAAAATTTAAATTCTCTTATTAGGAAATATAACCATGCTAAATTTGTAACCTGTCTTCTGAAATTTAAAAGAATTCCAAAATTTTACATAAATCTAGTTCACGCTATCCAGCCAATATTCAAATATAATCATATGCAGATTCACAGTTTTTTTCCCATATAAACAGCACCTATATTATTGATGCTATTCTTACCAAAAGATGCAAATAGAAAAGTAGATAATTTACTTTATTTAATGAAGCAAATTTATAAGATTATACAGATGAATCAAAGTTAACGGAAATAAAACTGATTAATTGCTTGACTATTTCTATAGGGGATTTTGCACGAATGTAATGAAATTGTGGCACCTTATTTATTCCAACAAGATAAGATGACTTATGATGTATCTTATGACACAGGAAATAAAACCATTCAATGTAGTCGCCGAATCGATATTATGAAACTATGGCTGATGTGGAAAGCAAAGGTTGAAAGGAATTTACATTACAATCGATAGGATAATAATAATTCAGATCTTAGATTCAATTTGCAGCAGCTTTTAATCGAGCTAAAGTTGATCATGCCTTACTGAAAGATTTCGATATATAACAATTAGGGAGACGAGGGATTTACTAAGAAAGTCAATCATGCTTGCGAGCTTGCCAAGTAGGGGAATAAAATTGATCTTTTACTAGAAATTTTTCTATAATTTGAAATGTTATATCAATAATATCGCACTTTAAATATAATATTAAGCTATCTACGATTACAAGAGCTATTTTCATCTATTTTTCTAGTTACTTAATCGAGAAAATTCGAAATCGCGAAGGTTTTAAATTAGTTCATCAAGTAAGCGGTTCTGTTATTTGTGCTTGGACTAGAAGATTGACAATCGAGCTCTTATTGCATGTCTGTTTATAAATAAGGTATTTTTCTTTTCTTAATTAGCCCATGTACCTTAATGTTTGCTTCTGGTATATTCCCAAAGCTTTACGAGATATGGCAGACGACGAAATAAAGCGAGCAAAATTAAGCAAAGTAAGATGATAGCTAATCGCTATAATTCGTCTTCTGATATGCTTCACGTAACTGTATTTCCATGTGTTGACATGTGAATGGTCTTATATCATGCTCTAAGTAATTTGGAGGGTGTTGCTTTTTTCAAAGATATCTCGATTTATTCAGGACATTTTTCAAAAAGATTTTCTTGTATCCGTACTTTCTTAATACAACAGGTAGCACCACAAATTAAAGCTGGAATGACCAAAAGAGGATCAATGATGGTGGGTTTTCAACCAGTAGATGATAAAGTAAACTTTTTTCGTATGATTTTAATAAATTATAATACGACGCTTGAAGACATGGACTTTATTCTCGATGAAATTGAGACACTAGGAGAAGCTGTTAAGGTTTAAATTTACAGATCTGATTATTACTTAATGAAGACTTAAATGATTTAATCATAAAATCTAATAATTTAATTTACTAGGCTTTATTGCTATCAGTTGGATTATAGTTTTTACTATTAAACTTCAGTATTTTAATCGAAGTTTTAAGTTTTGCTATCTGATCTGATCATTGGATAGTATGCACATTATTTATTTTGTGCTGTATTACAAAAATATTTTTTCTATAATATGCAAACTCTACACATAGAACCTCTAGCAATGAGTTGAAGAAATTAAGGAATGATTATTTGCTAAAAAAGAATTTATTATAGTTTCTTTCACATCCACAATTAATGAGTGGTTACGTTACTAGCTATTAATTACAATTTCTTAATTCTCTTATACCAATCTACCTCAACATTACTATAATAATGTAGAGATATCTGCATAGCATTATATTGGAGCACAACTTTATTGAATTAGTTCAGCATGGAAAAACCATTTAACTCACAGTTGTACGTTGAATAAAACATCTTATATGCACGTTATATATAAGCAAACATTAACCTATATAGATTATAATAAATTTATTCACAAGAAACAGCTACCAATAGAGTAGTTATTGTGCTTGTAAGATGAAATTTGGAACTATTTTGATAAGTAAATCTATACAGGTATCATGTTTGTAAGGAAGATTTTGGAAGCTGCTTGAAAATTAAATCTATAGAAATCTGTAGAGTGAATGTGCTAGTACTAAAAGAAAATTTAAATTTACTTTGTGGTAAATCGACGTTAGATAGCAGGAAAAAATGTAGAGAAGGGCGTATCACCCTGTAAGCTTGTCAAATTGCTATGTTCTTAAATTTTGAAGCCTATTAGTTTACTGATGCCCTGATATAATTGTCTCTGTACAAGTAATTATTTCATACTGTAATACGAATAGGATGAGGGCTCCATTTCATCATAGCAGCCAGATTTGTAATTACTTCATTACGTTAAACCGATTTTTTAATATGATACTTTAAGCTAGGTTTTTTTAATAAATACCACTCGTGATTTAGATTGAGAAGAGCTGAACGATTTACAGTAAAGAATATAGAAACATCAAAAGAAAATTAAATATAAAATGGCTTTTCAAACTTCTCTATATTCTTCTCTTCATGTCAGTCCAACTCTCTTCAATATTACTTTCAAAAGTACATAACTACTCTAACTTATAAAATTTCTACATTCATAATAATGTACACGTGTATAATCTTAAGTAGTGCAAACTATAACATTTTAGCCATCTCATCCTGTCATATATGAGCTATTTTTGCTACATTTAGTGTAGATGAAAGATGGTAGCGGTACTAGCTTGTAGGATGGGATGTAATTAGATGAATCGAAACTATAATCATAAAATTTATATTGTCGGCAGTTATCAGTCTAGAAGGATTCAATCAGTCATGCCCTTGTGAGTTTATTGCTTTAACTGTAGGCTTGATCAACAGTGGTGTATCCTGTGTTTGTTTTTGGAAGAAATTGGTTTTTAGATGGACTGAATCCTTATTTCTTTACTGAACTAGCCGCTTTAACTGTGGGCTTGACCGCTAGAGATAGATAGGTCAGATAATTGCTTTGGGAAGAGATTTTTTTTAGGAGCACTGAATCAATAATCCACTATAGAATTAATTCTTTTACCGTAGCCCAGAGTATTATGGATGGAATGCATAATTGTTTTTAGGAAGACATTGAACTGTAAAAGAACTAAGTCAGTAATTATCCAGAGAATTTGTAGCTTTAATCGAAAGCTTGGCAGATGTGGATGCATTGCATAATTGCATTTTGGGGAAAGATCGATTTGTTGAAGGACTGAATTGGTTATTCTCTGAAGAATGAGCTACTTTTGTCGCAGAGTTGACCGCAAATGATAGATCCCAACATTACCTAAAGAAATTGATTATAACAGGACTATATCGGTATTCCACTGGTGAATTAGTTGCTTTTCTCGTAGACTTGACTGCAGCAGATAGATCGCATAATTGCTTTTGGGAAGAGATTGATTTGTGGAAGGACTGAGTTGGTTTTCTTGTGAAGAATGAGCTGCTTTTATCATAGATCACTACAGATAAATTGTATCACTGTCTATGGGAAGAGATTGATTTGTAGAAGGATTAGATTATTTATCCTCTTAAGAATGATATATTTTTATGACAGATCACTGCAGATATAGTGTATCATTATCTATGGGAAGAAATAGGTTTGTAATGGGCAGAATCAATACCGGTAGTTCTCTTGAAATTAGCTGCTATTTAATTAGGTTTAACGGTTGCGAAGTTATTATATACTGATGATTCGTCTTTGGATTATGAATGAAAAAGTTGTTTTACTATCCAATTCAAGACTATCCTTCATTATCCCAATCGCACAAAAGAATTTCTGGCTTATAAAAGATAAAATATGGAGAAAATTTTGCATAATAATGCGCGTGGATTATTTGTGAAGTATTTATTCTCGAATAAATAAACCGTAGACAATTCCGCTGTCAGCTGAATAGCTGGCTTCAATGCGACTAGCATAGGTTAGTAAAATATAGTTTGAAGCATTGATGTGTTTACATTAGCATAAATTATAACTATAAATAATGAGGAAAAAGGATGCATAAGTGCGTTAATGAGGCGCCGAAAATATTGTTTTGAGTAGCTTGCAATTCTAAAAATCAGATGTCATTACCGATAATAAATACAGTTCGAAGAAGTTTCTGTAACGTCCATATGGTAACGCCTTATTGGCAATAATTTAACTAAGTTATCACTTTATGATTGGTTTAAGCCAAATAAACCATATTTCGACTTGTAAAAGTATAGACTGGCTTAGTGTGGTTTTTTGTCCAGCCAATTTAGATTTATAACATCAGCTTAGTAGAACACTGGTTATAACAAGTTGGAGTTATGGACACTTCCTTCAATGAATTGATGGATTCTAAATTTCAAAACTTGTATGATGATGGTAAGTCAATATTCAGTTTGAATATGATTCATGAAACGGGATTAAACAGCTAATTAGTAAATTATAATTGATGTAAAAATGATAAACTAGACTTTATGTACGTCAACATGTTGTACAGTAATTGAAGATTTGAAACATCGAATGGCATCATTCACTAAGGATCAGACTCATTTATCTTACGATTTGGTAACTAATCGTAGAACAAGATTTTTCAATCAATTCCATTAAATTGGAATAATGATCGAGTACCAGCATGGCCATAAGCGGTTAATAATCTATGTCTTTGTTTCAAATTGAGCAAATACATGATTCGTTAATCTGATTACCCTCCTGCAGAATTTATTGCAATGGAAGTTCATCATCAGTTAGTCAAAGCACCGTAAAATCAGAAACTTACCATAAGATACTGTTGCAAATCTAAGCTTGTAATGCCAGAAAATTGTACTATTACAAGAAAATAAATCCATCAGTCTACTATTAGATCTGTCTTCTAATGTCTACCTATAGTACAACTCTAAATACTGACCATCTTCTATCGTTGAGAGGAATAGTAACTCCACTAGTATCACTTAGATAAAACTGAAGCTAGACTTTATTGAAAAGTTAGTCAATTCATAGTAAATCGACATAAATATTAATCATCAGTTAATAGATAGAATAATACAACTGTGCAGTTATCTGTTAAAATTGGTAAAACAGAGATGTATCAATATCAACATATTTCTAGATAGTTATCTCAACATTCATATACAAATCAAAGTGCTGGATATATCATCGATTAGTAACATGAAAATGTAAGGACTTCAGCCTTACCGAATCTTTGTCTTGTTTAGAAAGCAAAATTTGTAGTAGGGCTGCCAGTACCATAATCTGTCTGTGGCAGTAGTAAATTCACGATATCTGAATACTATTAGCCGTGAAAGTAAATAAAAAGAAATTTTTTCATAGGTTGATAGGCTTTCCGATCTTATAGTCCAAACAATGAAATTTACTAAAGCAGCAGTGACTCGATTAACGTTATAAATACGTAGTTTGCAATGATAAATAGTTCTAAATACTTGGCAAGTTACCAATGTAAAATGTTTACGGAGAAATTTTTGGTAGACTTTTAAGACTTTCATATTTATAGGTCAAAAGTCAAAAACTTTAGTGTAGATTAAAGTTGTAAAAGCGCTTCTTCGAACAACATGATTTGGTCATAGACTGCATTATATATTATGGCGTCACAAATGTTTCACCAATTTTTAAAAATTCAATAGTTCTTGTTATTCTACGCTAGTGACATCTAGTCAGGAAAGAATTTCATAAATAACCCAAACTACTTCCATAAAATGTCTTTCTACCTTGATAGCTTACGGTAGTTACCTATTGAACAATTTTATAGCAATCTTGCACAAGATAAATAACATATTAACAAATTAATACTATCATTGTTTCAATCTCAGTTCCAATCATTTGCTGAGAGTATTTTTTCTCCATTACAGAGATTCAAAAAAATTTCAATCAAAATCCTTATCTCGAAGATTTTGTACATGCTATGGTAAACATCATAATCAAGTATATGAAAAATTGCCATGATCGGAGTCAGAAAGTGATAGAATTCAAGGAGCCTCATGAATTAAATGAACTAATTAACTTTGATTTGGAAGAAAAACCCGAAAATTTAGCAGCTTTAATGGGATACTGTCGTCAAACACTACAATACTGTGCAAAAACGGGTAGAATAATTTTGATATTCCGTAATTTGTATCGGTATATCTTCTTAACTTCAATACTATAGGTTGTATTAGAATAGAAAATTTCATTTATACTGCGTACATTAATATATCTAGTTTAATTGTTTAATTAAATGTGAAAGACAGTTATTTTCACTGGTAGGCCATTCACGATTTTACAACCAACTCTATAGTGGTATGGATGTTGTTAGTATTTGTGGCGAGTGGTTAGCAACCGCAACCAGCACAAATATGTAAGAACTAGTCTCATCATCTGAAATAGGATAATTCTTTAGCGATATAATCAACTACTAAAAGCGACAATAGAATGAATTGCGATTAAGTTATAAAGATCATTAAATAAATTTAAAGTGATCTATATGTAATGTAAGTTACTTGCTCGATTTATGCAGGGCAACTTATGAAATTGCTCCCGTTTTTCTATTAATGGAAGATGCTGTCTTGAAGCGTATGCGAAAACTAATCGGTTTCCATGACGGAGATGGTGTTTTTGCTCCAGGTAGCGATCTAAATAAATATTATATTCTAGAATGAATGCATTGAATACTTGCAAATTAGTATAATCAAATTCATTCTATGCAAAGAACAACTATATTGATTACATTACGGCAATATGTATGGCAGAAATTTTACTTATACATGCAATAAAAAATAATATCTAACAGATATGAGTAATAACAATGTTACCAATGCAAAGTTTGCTATATGCATTGCACTAGTATAAAATTTACTGTTTTTACCTTCTTAGGTGGATCATTGTCCAATATGTTTGCCATTAGCCTTGCAAGATATCGGTATGTGGAGGGATTTGGATAAATACTGCCATCATGCTATAGATACTTGAATGAATATTATTAATTTTTACTAAGGATTATTTACTATTACTTTATTCAATTTGAATTGAAGTAAATTTCCAGAATCGAAGTCAAAAGGACTTTATTCATTGCCTAGGATGGCAGTCTTGACATCTAATCATGTATGCTAGAGTCTCGTAATATTCATTAGTACTGATTTAGTATCGCATTGTCCATTGTCAGCTAACTTTTAGCTTCATTTGCCGGATTCGTTATCCTTTTTTAGAGTCATTATTCGTTTCAAAAAGGAGTTAATTTTATGGGCTTGGGACAGGATAATGTCTTTCGAGTAAATTGTGATTCAGAGTAAGTTTGAATATCTTACTTAAATCGACTATCTCAATCCATCTGAATGTAAATCCTCAATTTATATTTTATTTTCTATATTTAAAATTGTACGGTATTTTTATCACATTTTAAATACATGTTGTAATTCTACTCATATTTTGTAGAGGCCGGATGTCTATTTCTGATTTAGAAAATAAAATTAAAGGCCTTTTATCACAGGTAAGTCTTAATTGATGTGATCACATAATTAGACTGGCGATATAATTATAGTATATGAGACAAGAAATAATAAAAAATCATGGGCACAATCACTGTAACTTATAGCTGGCATGTCTAGTCATTTAAATGTGCCTAATTTACAGTCAAGTTTATAGCTTTCCGATATGTTAGTAAGTGGATTTATGAGTATGGTTTTCCTAGTTGTATTGAATGAAAAGGAAATTGACAATCAATGAAGAGGTAGATTGTTTCATATTGCTTCCACAAAGATGGCATCTGAGTATAATTATTGTTTACGAGTATTTTAAATAGTGCCAAAGCAGTCCATGACTTGCAAAGAAAGTGATGTGATTGGATTCGGTTATTTATAACTTTATTGCAGAAACATATTCTTCAATATATGCTTTGCACTCACTTACGATTAATATTTACTAATAATGATTATACAATATAATATATGGTTGTTTTATATAGATGGTATCCGTCTATAGCTATTATTTACGAGTCTTTAAAATAGCGCTAAAGTAGTCTATGGTTCACAGTGTAACTGATACAATCGGATTCTGTTGGTTATATTTTATTGCAGAAACTTATTCTAGGATATATGTTTTACACTCACTCGAAGTTACTGTTGTGTATTGCTATCTAGAATTAATACATGGAATCGTTTTGAAAGTTCATATTACTTCCAACCAGCGTGAGAGACAGTAAATTGAACAAGTAGTTAAAGTTATTTAAAGCTAACTATGTACTCCTACTCTCCCTTTATTGATTGAAAAATGGCAATATATATGCGCGCAGCGTTCACACTTACAATGCAATGTAATTGCAAGTTTAAAAAAAAGTAAATTAATTAATATACATATACAACCCTTAATGAACACTTAAAATTAAAAAGCGTAAAACATAGATTTGTAAAATGCTATAAATAATCATAACCAATCACAAAATTCAGGTCATGTCGAATTAACGCAAACCACATAGCAAGAATTTTCAATTAACTGTAGATATTACGAACGATAGCTAATACTATATATGGTAATAGATCGAACTAATGCATGCCCTACTAGCTACAAGTACAACATAATATATTGTAGTTACTATTTATCAATAACGATTATATAGTATTATAGATGGAAGAATACATAAAAAAAATTTATTGTACGATATCAATTAGGATATCATACCGATTATGGTCAATGCTACATGTGGTACTACAGTTTATGGTGCATTTGATTCTTTGGAGGAAATTGCTGATCTATGCCAAAAATATGATATATGGTTTCATATTGATGCTTCTTGGGGTGGCGTTGTTCTATTTTCAGATAGAAAGCGATATCTGATGAAGGGTGTTCATCAAGCAGATTCTATAACTTGGAATGCACATAAGTTTATGGGATGTCCATTTCAGTGCTCTGCATTTTTAACTAGGGAAAAGGTAGGTCAGAATAGCTTTATTATAATTATTTCCTTTATATAGCTATTATAATTATTATGAGATTGATTCTAATGTTTAAAAGTGGTTAAAATGAAGAAATGCATTATTTAATAATGCTAAATAAAACGAATATATAAAGCTGTAGATGTGGACTAAAATTAAAGGAAATTGACTAATTGCTTGGCCATTTTAACAGGGAAAATTGCAAGAATGTAATGGAGATCCAGTATCGTACCTTTTTCAACAAGATAAATTGACTTACGATGTATCCTACGATACGGGAAATAAAACCATTCAATGTGGTCGTCGAATTGACGCTATGAAAATATGGCTAATGTGGAAAGGAAAGGTTTTAAGACTATTTATGTTTAATTTGAATAGGACAACATAATTCAAGATTAGAATATAGTTATAAAAGCTTCTATTTTAATTAAAAGTGATCACACTCTTTTGATCTATTTTCGTTTTGAAATAATCAGGGAGATGAAGGTTTTGCTAAGAAACTTCATCACGCTTATGAGCTAACTAAGTGAGCAAAGAATCAATTATTTAATTAGATGCAGCTATGTATTAAAATAATAATGTTTTCTTAAGAATATTGCAGCTAATTGTTAATATTTAAGTTATCTACGATTATAAAGTTACTTTGAATCGATTACTCTAGCTATCTAATAGAGAAAATTCAAAATCGTGAAGGCTTTGAATTAGTTCATCAAGTGAGTAGCTTTCTCCCTGTACTCAGACTCGAGGTTAAGTCATCAATTAAGAAGCTAACGTTCCATGAACTGTCATTAATGGAATGTTTTTCTTACTATAAATAGCCGACATATGTAAATGTTTGCTTTTGGTATATTCCTAAAGCCATACGGAATTTACCAGACAACGAAATTAAGAAAACAAAGTTAAGCAAAGTAATAAGATAGAATGATGTACCGTATAACTTTAGCTCGCATCTCTCTTGCATGCATTTAATCAAAGTAATACCCATAGGGGCACCTACATATATAGGAACAGAATTATTTTATAGAATATAGGATAATATACTCTATATGAAAGTAATTCAATTTTTGTTTACCTTAATCTTTAATGATAATTTTTTAAATATTTAGTGAATTAATATTTACTTTGGGATTGTTAATAAAGAATTTATAATTAATTTATACAATAGTTAGCACCTCAAATTAAAGCTGGTATGACTAAAAAGGGATCGATGATGGTGAATTACCAACCAGTGGATGATAAAGTAAACTTTTTTCGTATGATTTTGATTAATTATGATACAACATTTGAAGATATGGATTTTACTCTTGATGAAATTGAGATGCTAGGAGAAGGTGCGATGACTGCAGTTCATCAGAATGAAAATATATCATAAAAATATAATTACTTCTGTCAGCTACGTTTCTATATTGATTAAAATTAATTACTTTCTGATGAAAATGGACAAGACTTAAATGTACAATTTAGTAGCCTCATGTACTAATCATAATCGATATATTATATTGCTGTAGTCTCCAATATAATGTTTACTATTAAATTTTAAAATTTTAATCAAAATTTTTAAATCAATTTAGTCTTAAATAATTCGATTATCATTAGGTGACTTGTTAGTTTCGTAGCCGTAATTGCGTTCAAAACTGTCTTCTATACTATGTAAATTTTCGCTGCTAATCTACCATTATTTTATAATTAAATACATATGTACTATGGTCGACTATAATGCCAGATGCTTTTTCCTAAAGAACTCCGCTATCATTAATAGATAAACCCTAATCACCTAACGTAGCAAAATCTAAGCTAACACAGGGATAGAAGACATGCAAAATTAATTTTACTTCTCCCTTTCTATTAATTTATTTACTTAGACAGCTTTTATATTTGACAAGTAGACCACTAGCATCCAATTCTTAACAATTTTATTCGTAATCATAGCTCATTACTATTACCGTCTTATCATCTAGTAAATTATTGGTTAGCCTAACACTTCTAATATTTCTTTATATCATGAATGATAATATAAGATATTGTAATGCTTTAATACAAGATATCCAATATCATAATATTTTACTTTAACACATAAGTGATCCTATATCAATCTAATTCTAATTTTTTCATCTAGGCAATTAAGGGTCAGGAAAAGTTACTTTATTTGCTTGATAATAATCTGTAACGAATGTAATCTTCCTGACGTATACTTTATGTCTATGTTACGTTCTATATATGTTTATATCTAAGAAATATTTTACGGTTTCCTTAATTGTAATTCTCGTGCTTAACAGTTGATATCCTTAATTTAAGATTATGTAGACTAAAATAGTAATTGCCAACCAGCTAAACTGGATTATATCTATCACCTCCAAGTTGTTAAGGTTCAAAGTACAATTCTTAAGTTTAGAGGAAATGCCTTAGTAGGATAGCTTTATATGTATCTGTTAAACTATTAATAAGCATTGATTATTTTAATATTGTTACAGTAAATTTAAAAGGATTGGACGGTAGCTAATCTTTACAGATAGAATCTCTTCAGGGCATTAATTTGGTTAATTTCTAATAGACGAGGTGACTTGTGTAGCTAAACCGGCTTTAGGTCCGAAACCTATATAAACGGCGAGTTCGCCGACAATAAATTAGATTATGATTTTCTAGTAGGCTTGAAGGTCTCCCTATGTTAAATCCTATCTGCCTTGGAATACCAATTGGCTGGTAACCCAAATAACACTAGTAAAGGGTAGAAATCACTCTCTCTATCCTTGTTGCAAGTTAGGGCTATTCCTAGCTCGTAACATAATCTCATAGCCTAATAAAGGCTACTTCTAAACCATACAGGCCTTGCGCTAAATTACTGCAAGTAAAGAGTAAAAGAAACGAATATTACCAGTTAAAATGTTATTGTATCTTCATAATGTTGGAGTATTAGATAGCCATTGTATTGAAAAATGAGAATCGGAACTGCTTCATCAATAAATCTTTATTATATCTATATACTATCGCAAGGTATGGACGCGATTATGGCCGACGCAAAATATTCTTTTTAGGTTATCAACATTAGTCAAAGTGTACAAGAATGGATTAACTGCAGAATTGATCGGTAATGTAAAAATGCCAATGAACTGTAATGTAATAACATCCACCCTGCCAATTTCAATTAAACCTGCTAGATTAACGTAGTAATAAGGTAGCCAACACAATAAATCGGATAGTAATATGAAAGATAAACGTATCGCTAGGATTTTATTTTCTCTCGTTGACGATCTTTGAACACGTTTAGCGCTTGATCTTACTGAGGCATAAATACGAGAGTATAACGCAATCATGATGATCCAAGCTATGAAGGTAATGAGTAAATACCAAATCATCCACATCATGTAATAAATATTTTCATAGTTGTTCGGCATACACATGCTGTTATAGGTATAAATGCGTAAGTAGCCTGGCTGCTGGACGCTAAACCAAGTAGGTAGAATTGAAAAAATAATTCCTATACACCATACGGCAGTCATGAGAGTATAAGCCAATTTCATCGTAAATTGGCGGTTTGAAAATGGAGTGACTATGCTGATATAGCGATCAACGGTAATAATAACCATGATTAAAACCGATGTATAGCTAGAAGCAATCACCAAACTACAAGCTAAATAGCATAAAGGATGTAATAGCCACGATTCAGAAATTGGTCCATAAATCTTTACAGAAAGGACTATATCCGCGATGGCGATGATAAGTAGATAGAAGCCCATCAGAAGGTCTGATATGGCAAGATTGTTGACCAAATATATTGCTATATGATTTCTGCTCTGTCGCTTTTGTGAATAATTTTGAATTAATACGATGAGATTACCTATTAAAGCAAGGCTACCAATAATCCAAATAAATGCCTGCAATGAGCTATGAGCTAAGAGTTGTTGACAGGATGATAATGTTTCTGAATTCATGGTTGGAATGCAGGTTTTAACTTTAGCGGGTACCATGCAGCATAAATAATCACGGCCAGTTAAGCTATCATTGGAATAATAGGAATGGTAGTTAATAAGTAGACAAGAAATTGAATCCAAATTAGAAATTTGGATAAATGAGAATGTGATTGAAACTATTTCAATTTCCTTTAAAGCAAATGATGGTAATGGATCAAATATTCCCGTTGCAGTAATTGAATTCGTTTAGATCACAAATTTACTAGAGGATCAATTATACTGTTCATTTTATTCAATACAACACTAGGTAATGATAGCCTTCGTAAATAATAATGTTCTGCACATCTTCTTGTATAGTATGTTCAAAACAGCATCCGTAAGTAAAGCTACTATTAGTATAACCATAGACTATTATAGTCGTTTGTGTATAAATTATTACTTCGTAAGTATGACTGAGAAGCCTACATATAGACCAGTGACAATTTTAAAATAATTATGGTAACTCTAACCGAAATTTAGAAATCAATGTAGTAATTAGATAATTTTCAGTATAATCAAACGTGGAGTAATTATAGTATAAGCATAAATTTTAGTTCTAATTCTGAAATTTCCGTCAATCGTTTTGTTTGCGTAAGTAGAAGAATAAAGCTAGATCTGTTTAAAGAGGAATTTTTAGAGTAACCTGTAGATAAAGAGTCTATTTTAGCATTTTTATAATTCTTGCAATGATTATGAATCATCCATTAGTTTGGTCAGCAGTTTCAAAAAGTTTGTTATGTGATTAATAATACAACATATGCATACATTGTATTTAAGTTAGGAGGTCCAAAAAAGGATTTAGAAGTGATATAAGCCAAATGATTTCCTTGCATGTACCTCGGATATGACGTAAAGAAAAGCAGAAATCACTTAATAGAAATTAGCTGTAACTATTTAATTAGCGAATACAGAAAGTGACCTCCATGCGATACTAATCAGTATGACAAAAGGTCTCTGCAAATGAAAATACTTTCAGCTCTAGATTATAGTCTAATTAAAATAACAACATCGAACGATACCCTTTTGATATTATTACTTTAATAATGGATTTCAATCGTAGCGAAATAAAAACTGGAATAATGTAATGATGATATTTCATCAAAAATTATCAGTATATGCTGTTCGTAGATCAAATTGTTAGATAGAGTTATCGATATTGCTAAATTTTACTTACGACTCTTTTAATCGAAGAAGTCCTCTAAAACACCTGGGAGTTACGGAGTCAATAGTGTTGTATCTGATGTCTCTATAAACATTTGCGCATACGAACAGTGATTATATCATTTAGAGACGTTGCTTATGTTGAGAATGCATAGAAGATAGTAACAGCAAACATTAAAGTGATGAATCTATTTGAATCTTTGTTTCATAAATTTTCTATCACTTTACATGTATCATCTCATGTCAGACTTAATTCTATTGCTTGGCTTTGATTGCTACTAATTAAATCTCAACGTAGTTTATTGACAGCAATTAGTTAATTTTGATGTTCTCTTATGCAAGGGAAAAACTATAAACCTATCATTATCTATTAATGCATGTCGAATAATTTTTAAACAAGACTTTCAAATATGGATTTTAAATTATCAAATAATTGATTAGTTTTATTGTGTTCTTACAATTTCACGAGATATGGAAAGTATATTCCTAGATTTTGATGACAAATTGTTGATAGCTTATTGCTGGAAATGTTTCTAAATATACAAGAATAAGTGGAATATAATTATTTCCGTTAACTTGAATCAGTCTTCTGTTCATGTGTTTTGCCATTAAAGTATCGAAAGAGTAATATATCTCCAGATGCATTTACAATATAATTGCAGCAGTTTCCATATTTAAAATCCATGAAAACATTCTTCAAATATTTTTAAAGTTTCGTAAAAGAACAAGTTACCATTTATCTGATAAAATATTATATCGACTGCAAAAATTAAAGTAACCTTCAAATAATACAGCTATATTAATAACTAAAATGTTTTTATTAGGTCTTGATCACATATAACTTTAGTCATTACATAATTAGTAACATAGCAGTCATAGGTAGATGATAAACTTACAATGATATTATAGATTCAAATTGGATCTTTGATGAAAATGTTAAATTGGGTATTTTGTTACCAGCTATTTGTCTGTTATATAAACTGAAAGTTTTAGTAGCCGAATAAAAAACTTAATCACTTTTGCTTCTCTTAAATATTAATTAAAAATCTTTACTCTGTCAATATCAGAGCTACTCTATGTTAAGATAATTGACTACTATGTCAGATTTATTAATTTAAATTGGTTTCAGTTATATTTACGTTGTATTACTTAGTATATTAGTATAGTTTCTAGCTTTGTTCAATAAATGCTTACAGTTCTGTTAGTAATAGACCAACATTTCTGGCTAAATCAGATAGATCTAACGATCTTATATTATTGTTGTTCATGAATCTATAATTATCGTTTCGATTAATTTAATAGAAAATTCTGTAAAATTTAGCCATGTATTGATAACATATATCGCAAATAGAAGTGTCACAAAACAGCTTTACAACAAGATAACGTAATGTACGATCAATAAGTTAATTCCTTGAACCACGTATCAAGGAACGATATCTGCACTATCAGAAACACTTTTGCTCTACTAGCAGACTACACAAAGACTTAAACCCCTCGTATTTTACGTTAAACACTAAGTTTGAGAATCCTCTTTATTACACGATATACTACATTTATATACTATTCCTCAATAGTTCATGAGTTATAGTTAGCAAGATTAACTTTGGAATCATTCACTGAATTAGATATTAATTTTAGCTACTGCTTCCTTAATGCAGACAACAGTATTTATGAACATAGACATCTGATGACTAATACAAAATAATCAGATTACGATATACCCTATCACGGAACATTTCCACGATAATTTACAATCTACCATAAGTAAGTTACAATCAAAATGATTCGAACTGTAAGTAGATGATTTGCATTCCCTGCTATAACTATTAATTTCAGTATGTGTATATGTGTCACTGTCATAAAAAGTCAGTGCTATATTAAAACACAGTATATCCGAAATAGAAGTTAACTAAATAAGGATAGGCTAACAGAATTATCCTAACATGGATATTCCTACTCTAATACAGTATGTAACACTGTCTCAAGAAGGTTTAAGTAACGCTAAATTTAAATGATCGGTTTCTTCCTTCTAGTAATTGTTACTTCAATTCATAGTAGACAAACCATGAATTGATTAGCATTTAGAAGCATTTAGTTTACTCTGTAAAATGATACGATTCTATGTTTAGCGCAATGTTTGATTTGGAAATCAGCTTACAAGGTTTTTAAGTTTGGAAAAGGACGAAATGTATCCTTGGGAATGCTACTAAAATTGCAATTATTTATGTTCCTAGATAAGTGAAAACATAAAATATCGTTATTGTAATCTTTTACATGGTAATTAATAGTATTTTTGGAAGCCGCTCTTATAGTTAGATAGAATATAAATCGTATTTCTTAGTAAGTGACTTTTCACTAATATGCTCTTCTCAGTATTTTATGACTTTGTAACTCAAAATACTAAAGGAAAGTTTGTCGCTGAGTGTTTATAAGTAGCAGTTATTGTTCTTAGCTAGAAGGATAAGCTCAACGGAAAAATGATCTTAATTGCAAATTTGTTTTATATAAATATCTATTAATACTCTTATAGTTAATAATAAATCATAAACGGATATTATTGATGCAAAAACTCAGAAAGGCAACGATAAGATTGGCATCATGTAGTTGCTGATTTCATTAATAGAATAAAAATAAGATAATAGTTATGGTCCGGTATAGATTTTCATTTTATGGTAATCAAGAAATGGCTATACCGGAGGAAAACATCAAAAATATCGTTATTACAATTATTTTTAAAAGATTATCTACGTTCTGGCGAAATAGTAAAGAAGCATCCAGTTCTCGTGTTTTGAAAATAAGGACTAGCAAACATTGATGTAGGTTTTGTTATTTAATTGAGGACTTAGATACGATTTCTGTGCAGTATTTTCGCCATTGAAGGAATTGAAATTAATTTCGATCAAATATGAATCATACTATTTCGGCTTTGTTGTATCTGATCATGCTAATGTTTATTTAGTTATGAGAAAAGTAAAATCATTGTAGTATCAAATACTGGTGATTATTGGTGGTATGTATAAAATAGAATTTTAAATAAAAATGCTAGCATAGCAAATATCTAATGTTCATTTATACTCGATAATATTTAGGAAATTCTTACAGGTGTAACAAATTTTGCTGGGTGTTCTTTGATATTAATTCTAAAGCATTTGTTAGGGTCAACGGATTACTGCTAACATCTCTGTAACATTGAGACAGTTAAAAGAAAAAGATTAGCTATAAAAGTGGATATTTGAAAATTCTTAAATAATTTTGTCTATAGAACAGGAGTAAGTTAGGATGATTATATAGATTTATTGTAGCAATTAAATTTTTCGTTATTCACAAATGTTGTAACGAGATACTAGGTATGATAAAATAATTTAGATTTAGGTAACATTAATGGGAAGCCTTTGGAATCCATAATTGCACTGACAAATTTGCTAGGAAATACTTGGAATTCTGTTTAGGCAATCCAGTAATATCATTGCCAGCTAATTTTCTATGAAATGAAATTTTATACTTAATTAAAAAATTATGTAGAAATGAGCTCATTTAGGCTATCATAATAGGTGATATTTGAGTAATTTATTTATACTAGCTAAAAGAATCTCTTAACAAGGCAATTTGCATCAAATATATTTCCGGATTGTAAATTTAATACATTAAGTGCGGTTAGATTCCAAGATTCTAGACAGTGTTAATAAAACAATCTCTCATGATAATAAGAAGATTTATTGCTAAGTTATATGGGTACTTCTGACACATTATATGCGAGTAAAGTTATCTCTCCTAACAAATAAAGGATATTTTCTTGATCTATAGTAACTTTTATTTCCGAATATGCCAAACTATGCAATTATGTTTAAGATGCTAAAATGAAAATATCCGAGCAATCCGTATTAA